CTCACACACACACACACACACACACACACACACACACACACACACACACACACACGCAAACGTGGCCAACCTTGCATTTTCTATTATATTGCCTATCTATACGCAAACGTGGCCAACCGTGCATTTTCTATTATATTGCCTATCTATACTTTTTCGTTATGGATGGCTTGTGATGATTTGTGAAGGGAATAAGAGAGAGAATCTGGGGTCTTTTAAACAACACACACACACACACACACACACACACACACACACACACACACACACACACACACACACAGATGCATGTGCAATGACTTGCTGTTTTCTGCCGCCGGTGAGCCGTCGACCCGAGGCTGTAACATGGGTAGGCCGGATTTGTAATTTTGTTTGGCTGAGGGCTAACCGAGAGACCTGCCTGTAAGGAAAATTCGTGAGGTACATATCTGCAAATTTGGGGAAAATATAGGCCCGCACTAACTAGAATTTCCTACAGCTACCCTAACTGCAAATAGCAGGCCCGGGCTACCCCTAGGACAGGCAGGCCCTACGGGCCTAAGCTGATAGATGGTCCTATAGCCTATAGTCGGGTAGGGGGAGAGGCCCTAGAGGCCAAAACGGAAACGGTACCGGTCGGTCCAGTCAGTCCGATCTAGGTCTAGGCTTGGCTAGTGTAGTCTATTAATAGATTGTAGGAATCGGTTCAGGGCTTTTGGCAGTTGGTACCGTGTATGTCGCTGCTGCACAACGCATGAACTGGAGTGGTGACAGTTTCAGCGTTGGTGGGAGACAGACATAGCCGGACCTGCGAAGTGTCGGCCATAGCTGGGACCTGTGCTGTGCTCTGACAGCACGTGGGGCTGTTCAGAGGTCCGGGCTATCTGAAGTCTGCTGGAGGCGAGAGAAGTTGGTGCCCTGCTGGACCCTCCTCAGGAGTAGGGTTTCAGGGTGTTTGGCGCTGCAGCCATAGCTGCAGCTTTCTTCCTCAGAGAGCATCTTTGTCAGGAGAGGTGGTGCTGCTACAGACTTCCACCCGGGAAGTCCTCTCGCACTTCATCATCATCAGACAGTGTGGCGCTGGTCTTCTTCTTCATCCTCTGAGAGGCGCTTGGCCTCAGTGGCCTGTTACAGGGTGGCGCTTCCCTCTGGAGGCAGTATCTGGGTGGCGCTTGATGTTTCAGGGACTCAGGGGTAGTTCTAGCGGTTACTCAGGGTTGGGGAGTGAAGCGCTGCTCAATTTTGAGCAGTGCACCATGGTTCTGGGATTATCCTGACATTTCGAGACTCTGAGTTTAATAAATAATGTTTATACTGTGTGTGAACTATCATTTCTTCATTTTGTTTTCGGGATGTGATCTACTCGGCTTTCCTTTGTGACTGGTTGTGAGGATTCTGTGGAGCGAATGGCACTTTCAGTGTTTTCTGTCATATCGCATGGTCAAGTCTTCTGCTGTGTTTATCTCTCCCTGTGCGGTGAGATACTCCCATCCTCTCCCCTTCCTTCTGTGTATGTATGGGCATACCTGGAAGTCTATGTGAGTGAGTGTTGGTCTTCTGACAACAAACAACCAGGTTAATAAGACATGTGTGCATGTGCTCACCCCTACTGTACCGCACAGCTACTTCAGGTGTGCCCACCTAAGCTACGTGCTTTTTGGTGGAGAAGATGTCTTTAAGACCAGGGCCCACAATGGCAGCATCCAGCGTTCCCGTGTTCTCTCTCCGTGTTGAGTAACCGATGGCAACCATCTTTGTGTGTGTGTGTGTGTGTGTGTGTGTGTGTGTGTGTGTGTGAGAGAGAGAGAGAGAGAGAGAGAGAGAGAGAGAGAGAGAGAGAGAGAG